CAACGGGCGAGGCCGCGGGGCGAGGGTGCGGTGCCTCCTCCGGGCCCTGCTCCGCCGCCGCCGCTCGCTGTGCCCCCGGGTGCGGCGCAGCCCGCGTTGCCAGGCAGCTGCAACGCTCCGTGCCCTCTCGTGGCCCAGCCCGGTGCCAGGGGACACCGAGGCAGAGCCCGCGGCCTGAGGGCGCAGCCACAGGAGGCTCCTGGCTTGGGTTAGGGGAGGGGAAGGTGGCAGGTCTGAGGTGGCGGTGCAGAGACTATCAATAAATCAATATTTATTACAGTCCTTCAGTTTGAGCCTTTTGGCCTTGCTACATATCGTCCTACCACCGTCCCTTCACCTCAGCATGTTAAATTTCTACGACTTAGGCATTTGCATCATTATAGTGACTGTCCCACCCTGTTTGCTACTCTCGTGCTGCCATCTCTCTGCCCTGCTCCCAGTTTTCACAATTCCTGTCTGCTTTTAGCCTTGCTCTCTGCCTTAGAATGTCTCCGTTATTTTTGTCCCTTGCCCCCGCACTGTTTGGTTTTGCTGCATTTCTCCTTCCCTGTCACCCACGAGCCCGTTCCCTCTCTCATCCATCTCATCTACTCGTTCACGTCAGTTTCCTTTCCCAAATTCCTCATGGATGCTCCCCCTCCACAGGACAACAGCCCCGCCGTCCTGCACCCATAGCTAGCTGGGTGTCTGTATAACAAGAATAATGTAGTTCTATATCCTGACTTACACGAACTGTGTATTATTATAATGAAGAGACCCACACAGGGGAAATCAGAAGGGCTTAGCTGACTGGAAGTAGAGGGTCTGTGCGTAGTTGAGGGATTTCTGCAGAAGTATTAGTTGCCAAACAGAAGAAATGCTTGGAGGAGATTAACTTTGAGCGTGGAGACATGAAGTGTAACGGGATAAATGGAGGTGAAATGAAAGACAGGACAAATGTGATTAGTGGAAGGCCAAAAATAGAAGTATCAATACAGAAAAGGCAAGTGTTTTGCAGCAAAGTTTATAAAAAGGGGGAAAAGAGAGCACCTATGGAAAAAGTTGTGAAGCTTTTGAAAAAAACATCAGGCAAGAAATCAGTCCATTACAATATTTTCAATATTATTATTTTTTTTACTAATAGGAATAGCAAGAGGTTAATGGTGGCCTTTCAAAACCAGATTTGCAACTGGTTACGCTTTGGGTTTGGAGAAACAAGAAAGGGCAAGGTCAATAGTGGAAACCAAACATCCACAGGGGAAAGACAGATTTTGTTAAGAAGCAAACTGAAGATTCCCTGAGAGGTTAAAGCATCATAAGCAAAGTGAAGCTCTCCAGTGAAGCTTAGGAAGGTTGTAGGGGATTTTAAAAGAAACAGAGGAGGTAGAGAAGGGAAACCAGGTTGGTATCATGAAAGCTACAAAGACAAACATGCTCTTTCCCAAGAGCAACACTTTTTTTTTTTTTTTTTTTTTTTTTTTTTTTTTTTTTTTTTTTTTTTTTTTTTTTTTTTTTTTAAGACAAGTACTATTTCTTTTTGCAGAACTAATATATGATCTTAGTAATATCCTTACTGTTTTTAAAATTCTTGTCCAGTACAGCTATAAAATCATAGCACCCTAAAAATGCCCAAAGCATTAGCTAGAGCATCTCTGCTAGTTAGACATGGAGGCAACAAAATCACTGGTTGAGATTAGAGAGATTAGAGCCACTGGTTTTCTAGCCAGATTTTAGCTAAGTCTTAATAAACAAAAGAGAGGTAATTTATTATATCATAAATGATTAAATATGTTAACAAACATAGCAACCCAAGACTTTGTTTACAGCCCTCTGGGAATAACAACACATAGATATTAGGATTGCACATTTGCACAATTTTTCTAAGATCCACAATATGATTTATTTAAGATTGATTTATTTTATTGAAATATTGTACCAACTGGACTCAGAATTAAACTACCTATATTTGAAATAATATTAAAATATTACTATTTTTAGACAAGTATTTCTTAGTGAACTTTAAAGCATTTCTCTAGAGATGTAGAAAAGTGAAATAAGAGGTTTTGTTACATTCTTGATCCCTTACTCCATTAAGGTTTTATCACTTTAAAGTTGACCTGATGTGACCTTGACAGTTGTGGTTAATTCTCTAATACATAGTTGGTAACTGGGTAGAGAATAGGCTTATATTAGTGATGACAACCAATAGGAAGATACATAAGAGCAAGGAAAATTTATCTCAGTATTTATCTGGGAAAAAAAGAGCACTTGAAAGCCTAGCATTGGTATGGTGTAAGATTTAGCCAACTTTATTCGTAAGCAGATTCCTGTTCTCCATTTAATAATTTGTTGAAAGTTGAAACAAACATCATGAGTGTAAAATCAAAGTGGTTTTGTTATTTTGAAATGAAGCACACATTGGATTAGATGCAGATTTCAAACAGATTGATCTTTGTGATCATAATGAGCTGTAGCTGGGACCTGTTGCTTGGGACCTCCATGATTAGAGTAGTACATCATCAGTCTGTATTTTCCAAATGTTGCAGTTTTTCTTTCTTTGTCTTAAATATTATAAGATCCCAGAATTAAATGGCTTTAACAGAAATGTTAGATTCCAAATTAAGCGGTTCCTTGCAATGCCTTTGTTACTCTTCCAGTAAAGGAAGAGGTAGATCACAGAGCAGAGGAGCTGTCACTATAGCTGGGGGGAGTGGTTCAGGACAGAAAGGTGTGCATAGCTGGAATGATGTTGGAATAGTTCATTGCACAAGACCACTGAGGGTCAAGCTGCAGCGTTTAGCTTTGATTAGACTAAATAATATATTATTTAATTGTCACCTATGGCTCTCTTCCTTCTGCAGGCACAAATGTTGTGATCTTTCCTCCCCCAGGAAAAATATAAAAGCATGAGACTTCTATGTTAAGCTATTATCTTTGTACTTCTAGGCACTTTTTGTGGTTCTTATCTTCTTACTGGCTTAAAGATTCATTATACATAATTTTCCATGCTTCTCATAAAAGTTGTGACATTTAGTAGAGACCTAGAATGCTATCGAGAGCCAACACTGTAGGAAGGGACAGGGTTTCACTGTGTATTACATTACTTGTCAGAAACAGAGAAACAAATAGTAGTTCAGGACAGCATTTTCTTCCATAAAAACCACTGCCAATGTGTCAGGCCAAAGAGACTACAGCTGATACCCTTGCTCAATTTTTGTTCATTTTTGTTTGTTTGTTTTTTTAATGAGGCCTATGCTAAACAAATGAATAGCATCATATTTGTGCAAAAATGCTCATCATCTTTAGACCAAGAATCATGCTAAGGGTTATATATTGTCTTTTTTGTGTGGTAGAGCTAGATTAAATTATACTTATATGAGAGGCCTGTAGTAAAATATTATCTCTGTTGATTCCACCTCTAGAATTAAAAGTTTTTTTGCAGGACTTCCTGCTGTACTCTCCATCTGAGGGTAGAGGGCTGCTTTCCTGAGGCAACGTAACACCCAACATGTCCTTCTTCCTTGTACACTAGATTATTTGAGCAGGACAGTCTGTACTGCTTAGATTACCTGCTCTGGGTTAAGCGGTGATGGGGACACTGTTTATGGCACCACATTTACAGTCTCAGGTCTGAATGCTGGTACATTTCTCAGCCAACACCCATCTGTTCAGGCATGAGAACGCAAAGCAACCCGACCTACACTGGGAGGAGGTTTGGGTCACCACCAGGGCTGCCTGTGTGTCTGCAGTGCCACATGGCATGGCCACAGCTTGTGGGCTGCTGCTCACACTGTGCCTGTCACTGGCACGAGCAGGTCCAGAGCCTCAGCAGAACAAAAACCACAGCCTGGGCACCTGAATCCTGCCATCAGGATGTGAACCAGGGTCAGGCAGGTGGTTGTTTGTTTACTTATTTATTCTAAATGTACCAGAGAGGATGTCAAACTTCTATGTTTTCCTACCTTAAATTTCTGCTTCATCTTTCTAGTTCCAGTTTCCTGGAGGGGGGAGAGAGAAGAGCAGAATTTTGTAATGAACTGTAG